GGTTTTGACGACAATAGGCTTGGTGGGCTGGGGTTTTTTTTTCCCCCGGAAGCAGGTGACAGAGTTGAAAGGAGGCGCGAGGAGGGGTCAGGGGGGGGGGGGCCGCGTCAAGGAGAGAGGGTGTGCGTGTGCGTGTGCGTGTGCGTGTGCGTGTGCGTGTGCGTGTACGTGTGCGTGTGGTACGGAGAACTTGTGTGCATACCTTTGGCGTCGAGAGGTTCACACCGGCCAGCTGACTGGCGACCTCAGCCCCGAAGACCTCCTCGTCGGGAAGGCCGATCTTGCTGGTGTCCAAGAATTGCGGCTGGGCAACCTCCTCAATCGAGTGGGCCCCGACGCAGCAGCCTGTCAGCTCAAGGAACTCGTCAAAAGAAAGGACCTTGGTGCTCGGGCAGCAGGACCAACTCTTGAGGCCCTCGTGGAAAACCGGCATCCCGGGGTGGAAAGTACACGCGTCGTTGGGATTGCTGGCCGGATCATACTTCTGTCCGCAGCCGCGACGCTTGCACAGAAGGAGGGTCATGATGTTGCGGGGGGGGGGGAGGGGAGCAAATGCGGCAAGGAGGAGGGGGAGAGGAAGGTGTGGGTGTAAATGCAGGGAGCCTGGTGAGTCAGGGCCAAGGGGCTCCCACTCCGACTACCGCCATCTGAAAGATCCCTCCCTTACTTCGCGATGGGGGGGGGGGGGGAGCGAAGGAGCGGACTCCCCGGTCCTAGCCCCTTGAGACTGGAACGCAAGCTGACACACACCCGCCTGGCACAGCCGTCCGGCCAAACGCCACTCAACCACCGGTAATCCGGTTGCAAGCTGGCGGCCGAGGGACGGGCGGAAAGGGGGAGAAAGCGGCGTGATCGTTGGGATCTTAGAATTCCTCGGGAAGGGCGCAGACCGCGCCAGAAAACCGAGTGCTAACTGGCCGGCGCGTGCCGGCCCCGGAGGAGGGCCGAGGGGGCGGGGGGGGGGAATTTTCTAGAGCGCATCGATTTTCGCCAGCAGGAACACTGTTCAAGGGCGCTCCGTCATCGTATGTCAAAAATAAACACCCGGAAAGGAGAGGCCCTGGAGAGGATCCTGCCCCCGCCGGGGAGGAGGGGGGGGGGTGGCAGTTCGAGGAGGTGGAGAGTGCTGATTGGTTAAGGAGCAGAAAAATCCCGCTTTGCCCCCGGGTGTCTACAGCCGTCCGGAGGCCGGACCACACCCACCAACACAGTCCCCTTTCAACCGCTGATCGACCCCATTCGGTCTGTCCACCCCCCCCCCACACACACACACACACCGGCCCGAAGACCAGAGGACACCCGGGCGATCACCCCCGGCAACTGGGGCAGGGACAACCAGAGGGAGGGGGGGAGCGGGAAGGGGCCAGTCTCCGGGGCCATTTTTCAGTTCTTTCCCCCCCGGCCCCTGGCTGAGTTACAATCCAGAGGTTAGCCACCCAACTTCATCCCCCTCCCCCTCTCCCCTCCTCTCCCTTCCGCCTCCTGCCCTTCATCCCCCCTGCCGCGGTCTCCTCTGAGCCGTAGATTCCTTTCCCCTCCCCCCTCCTCTTCCCTCCTCCCCCCCCCCCCGCTGCACGCTTCCAATTTCCCGGTGGCGGGAGATCTACGCTCCTCCCACACCGCCCGACATGCACAACGCGCCACCCACCCTCTCCATAAGGCGCTCGGGCCTGTCGGCTCTCAAGCAGCTCTCTGCCTTGGTAGTTTTGCTGCTGATGCTTTCGACGGCCGGCCCGGCGGGCGCCTCCGAGAAGAGTACGCACTCGACCACCGGTCCCCATGCTCCCCCTTGCCACGTCAACTTTGCCACGACTTGCTGACCAAAATCAGCTCCCGTTGAGGCGGCCACGGCCGCCCTACGCAGTGGCGACAGCAAGGGCGCATTGGCCATCCTAACGGGTCAACTCAAGGAAACTCCGACTGACTGGAACCTGTACTACAACCGTGGTATGGTTCATGAAATCACGGGCGGCCCGTGGGCCGCCCTCGCCGACTATCAGGAGGCCCTTGGGCACCTTGATGGCGCCGTTCGGGCTGGCGTCGCTTCGGCCGACTCGCTGGCTCGGCTGCAGGGGACCTTCTGTCGGACGGCCCTGAAACTGGGCTTGGGCGTGGGTCTGTCCGAGACTCCGAAGGACCGCGAGTCTCGAGTGACCGAAACTTGCACCTCGGCCGGGGCAGCGGACCCGAAGCTCCGCGATGCGTTTGCCGCGCAGCGGGCCACCGTGACCCGGGTGAATGCTGCGCTGGCCTCCCGGCGGGCTTCGGCCCCGGAGCTCCTCCGCCTGCTGGGCGATGCGGTCATGGCGAGCCCCTTCTCACGGCAGCTTCTGGAGCTGCGTGTCAATGTGGCCAAGAGCGCCGGCGATCGTGCCCAACACTCAAGCGACATCAAGTGCGTTTCCGCGCCGCGCACGCCCATATCGCCTGGAGGAAAAGGTTTTTCCTCTTTGTTCTGCTTTTTTTTCTCCGGCTGATCCTCTCCCTCCGCCCTCGCCTCCCCCGGTGGTGGCCTACATGGATGCATGTATTGACTTTCCCTCCGTAGCCGGTTGATCGAGCTGTTCCCAAGCGACCTGAAGTACCTGGTGATCAAGACCGAGCTCCTGCTGGCAGATGGCGACCTGGCCAATGCCTCAATGTACGTACAGGCCGATCTACCTCCCCCTGTGCGCCCCCCCTTGCCAAGCGCTGACATCCCCCATGGAGAATAGTCTTCTGCAGCGCTGCCTCCGCAGTGATCCCGAAAATAAGCCCTGCCTTGATATCCACAAGGTGCGCACCCTTCTTCCTTCTCTTCCTTCTCCTCCTTCTCTTCCTTCTCTTCCTTCTCTTCCTTCTCTTCCTTCTCTTCCTTCTCTTCCTTCTCTTCCTTCTCTTCCTTCTCTCTTTCCCCGTCTCCCGAACTGTGTCCTGCACCTGCCTGTTGACTCATGTCTCTTCTCATTCGTTTGCCCCCCCGCCCCCATTGCTCCAAGGTTGTCCGGAATTTTGACCGGCTGCACAAGAGTCTGGAGAAGCAACTTTCCGAGAAGAAGTTCACGACCGTGGTTGAACGTGCGCAAGCCGCGCGCGGGACCCTTCCCGCCAGCATCAAGCCGCGCCAAGAGTACCGCCTGGCCGGGCTTGCCTGTCGGGCGATGAGTGAAGCCGTGCAGGCTCACTCGGCGGCCAATTCCGCCTCGGCGGCTCCCTTTACCGCGGAGAAGGCGGCCGCGACATGCGCCGAGGCCATCGCCCTGATGGAGAAGTCCGTTCCCATGGTCCCGATGCAGGGAATGCATCCGCATGCGCCGCCGGAGATGGCCCCGGAGGCGCCGGACAACCGCACCATGCTTTCCATGCTGCTGGCTGCCCGGGCGGAGGTGCTCATGCTGGCATCGGCCGATGCCAGTCTCGAAGCTGCGCAGGCCGATTTCACTCGAGCTGCCAGCCTCGAGTCGGATGCCAGCCGCCGGGCCCGATACAAGAACGGCGCCCTGCGCGCGGCGAATGCCATCAAGACGCGCAATAATGTTGACTACTACAAGGTTCTTGGCGTGCCGCGCAATGCCAACAAGGCGGCCATCAAGAAGGGTGCGTGGCTCTGTCTCGGCGCCATCGAGCAGTGGATTCTCCTTCCTTCTCTCCCTCTCTCCCCTTATCTCTTGAGCAGGCTTTGTTTGTCTGTTTGTTTGTTTGGGATTTTTTGGGCTCGAATCGCACACACACATACATACATACACACTATGCTGTCCCCATAGCCAAAGCCCATGTGCTAACATCCCACACCCCGCATGCGCGCCTGTGCCACACTACACCCACACCCATGTACACAGCCTACCGCAAGCTGGTCCTCGAGTGGCATCCAGATAAGTATGAGGGAAATGACCGCGAGGAGGCAGAGCGTAAGATGGCTCAGATCAACCTGGCCAACGAGGTCTTGAATGATGATGGTACGCGCGAGGAGAGAGTTATCCTGGCCCCGTGTGTGGCCTTTGACCGAGCCATGGGGATTTCGCCCTGGCCCGGATGGCGCGCGCGCGCGCGCCGCCGCCGCCGCCGCCCCATACGTGTTTGCTAACATGCCCGCTGCTCTCCACCCGACTGCGCCCGCCACCACCACCCCCGCCCCCCTGTGGTCCCCCTCCCCTTCCAGAGAAGCGCAAGCTCTTCGACAGCGGCATCGATCCCAACAACCCGGAGAGCCAGCAGCAACAGCAGCACCATCACCATCACCCCTTCCACCATCCCTTCGGCGGTGGTGGCGGTTTCCGCCACAATTTCCACCACACCCACTTCGGACATGGTGGCGGTGGCGGCGGTGGTCACCGGCAGCAGCAATTCAACTTTGGCTTTGGCTTCTAGGCAGGAGAAAAAGTACAACACGATCAGCCAGAAGCATTTCCAGAGCAGCCGAGGATGCTGGGGGGGGGGGGGGGGGGCAAGAGTGACTCTACGCGCGGCGCGGAAGAGAAAGCATGCCCCGCCCCCCTCCCCCTCGGCTTGGTGGCTGGCCAGTTCCGGAATCTTCAGAAATATACACTAGTACATGTGACATGGACGCGTGACTTCCCGAAGCCCGGCTGTATTTCGCCCCCGGTCCGATCAACGAGCGAACGGCCAGGCCGGGGGAGCTGTTGCCGGTGGTGGCGGCGGCGACGGCGACGGCGACGGCGACGGCAAACACAAGGGGGCTGGACTTTTTCACCTGAAATCACAGTCGACCCTGTGCGTCCGGCGGGAGTTTCCGGCGTCGTCGCCGACCCAATGCGCTGTCCTCCTCCCCATTCCGGGGGGGGGCGTGTCTTGCCTAAATGGGGCAGCGAAAAGCAGGGACCGCAGTGTTCCAGGGACGCCCTCCCCCCCCCCCCCCC